AGGGTTCACTCATGTGGGTGAAAATAACGGTATGTCACATTGGGTTATGTTCATCACACCATAATTTTGCACAAAATATGCAGAACAGTTTAAGCTGCTGGTGAGTGACAAACCAGACGATACCTGCCATAACCAAAAAACATATACCTACATTGGAAACAATCTCGTTCTGGGTTTTAGCCTCATTTTGTCTGGTATTTAACATGTGGCCATAGTGATCATTTTCACTAAAAATAGAATGTTTTGTATTTTAAGAGTTCATTAAAAATATGTACGTATCCACTTATGAACACCAAATCTATTCAAAGGCTGTCACATTACCTAAATGCTCGTATATATGCTTTTAAATGGTGCTTTATGGACACTTAATCAACCACTTGATGCTTGACTGCATCTTACCTTTTATTAGCATACATATCACATATTTGTGTCACAGGACAGATGAGCTATGTGACTTTTTAAGGTCACCGAATGTTTCAGAGAAAACCATACAGTAACTGGAAAGGGTTAAGGTAGTAAGCTTGTTATAGAAATTATTAAAATTGGCTTTCATCATATACCAACACGGATTAACATTCACCATAAATGAGTACTACAAAAGTGTGGCAAAGAGAGATATTTCTTGCATTGGAATGGGTGCATGATGCCTGTGGCAATTTAAGAGCAGAAGTGATCCATAATGACAAAGTTGTCACAGCAGCTTAACAAGAATTGTGAAATTGAACCTATTATTCAAGTGTTTTGTGCACCCAAAAGTGTGACTTGTGGCCCAAGACGAGGGCACCCATGAACAACGAGAATTTTGACTGTCAGCTGGAAATTGACTGACTGGCAGCCCAATAGGGAAACTTGTGGAATGGACTGACAACTATTCATAAAATGTTTTTGTTTGTTTTTTTTTTTAATTTGTAGCTATTGTACCACTCATGACAGATGACCAGCTGAAGGAATATCTGCCGTCCTGTGCTGACCAACTGGCCGTTCTTAAATGTGGCAGGCAGTGGGAAGACAATCCTGCTGGCGGCAAATCAAAACCCTTTGAGCGTGTGAGATCTAAGGTGTTGATCGTAAGCATTTGTCTGAGAAGGAACCACTTCAGAAACCACTGAATGCTCGGAATAGGCATAAAGTTGAGATTGGATGGATGCATTTTCATAAAGGAACATTTTTGCAGGTGGGCACCAAAAAGGTGAGAGTACAAGAAAATCATTGTGTCAAAGAACTGTAGAAAAGATTAGTTGATAAGGCTGTGAATGAGTTTTTTCCTGGTCCGCAGAATGCAGAGGCAAGCAGCTTAGATTTTGTGGCTGATATAACAGATTTTTAGTAGCACTCATCTGATGACCAGACTACAGAACTTTATCAGTAGATGAAACTACCTAAAAACCAAAAAGAAGAACAACAGCAGTGACACAGCCAGAGAACAATGGTAAAACCTTTGTACAGGGAGGTAAAAACATGGAAGACACATACTCGACTTGCACCAGTCCAAGCACACCTCTGATGATGGAGGCTGACAAAACACATACTGTTGATGATGTTATGGGCATGAAATCAGACACCAGATTCAATCAGCAGCAAAATATTTATTGAAGCGGGGATAATCTGAAAATAAATGAAAGTATACAGGTTTTATTGGAGATTGCTGCGCTGTACTCACACACGACTGCTGTCTGCTACTGACTGTTCTATATGTGCTTATATCAGACATATTATTATTATTATTCACAAATAACCATAATACCATCAAATGTTCACAACTTATAATACTTGAGTTTCATAATGTTCTAATACACATGCAAAAGAAGTCTGTTTTTTTTTTTGACAATCTATGTAAAATGTTTTTCCCCCTTTCCATGTGAACGTATTTATTACTCAAAACATCAGCCTATCTGTATGAATGTAAGCTGAGTACTGCTGTTATGAACCAAATTAAATATACAAAAACACATTACACATAATGAAGATGGTCCTAGGCTATCTGACCATGAGGAAATTGTGAGTTGTGGACTGAGCGTATCCTGTGGTTGTTTCAGTTTGAAGCAACCTTGTTTAGTTTGGCTAATATATATAAAAATAAATCGGCTAAATCAAAGGGAAAAATACCCAAAAAAGACCATTAAATGCTAATGTTTTGCCATTTGGGGCTTGGCCCTTTTTTCTACACAGGCATGTATTGTCTCATAATTGTGACTTACTATGTCATAATTATGGCTTATTATCTTATGTTTTGACTTACTTTCTCATAATTATGACAATATCTCATGATTATGATTTACTTTCTCATAATTGTGATTTCATATTCCATAATTGACTTAGTATCTTATGACTTAGCACCTCATCATAATGAGAGTTTTTTTATTATTCTGGGATAGTAAGTCATTATTAAAAATATTAAGTCATAATTATGAAAAACATTCTTTACATCATCGACATTCTACATGTTTTTTTTCAGGTGGTCAAAATGCGCTTCCATATTCTCCCCTTTTGACTGGAATCTGTTATCTTTATTCTTTTACTAGGTTTCCAACAACTTCTGTTATTACTGTACCATTATGTTGAATGCTCAAGTGAGGGGGAAAAATGACTGGTATGTCTTATCTCAAAAAAAGAATGTATGCATCTGTGGAGTGTACATTATGTACATAATAAGCAAATACATAGCAATTGTGCCGGTTCATTTGCAGAAAAAATGGCATATTTAAGTTTGGAGGGGATATCTGCAGGGGATATGTTAATTTATTTTCATTCTGTAAATTAATAAAAAATGTAATAAAAAGTAAAAATAAATTAACAGAAAAAAACTCATATTTTACATTCTGTTAACTCATTATTGAAGTACAAACCCTTTAAAATGAAAGGCAGCCTGGTTACTTACTTTTTGAAGTTAGAACTCTAAAGTAGTTTTTTACAGTGTGCATAAAAAACACCTCTAACAATGTTTATCTCAAAAAATTCACACAAAAATAAAACATCACAAAATGCTTTGAGATAATGATTTGTTTTCGTGCAATAATTTATATTAAGAATATTATTTCTTTTTCTTTTTAGGCAAGAAAAGTTGTACTGAATGACAAGTTAACTACTACAATATATAAAAAAGCCACAGATAAAATGGTTCTGTGTTAGAATTTCTGAGAGAAAGACATAATGTAGAGAGAGAGAGGAAATGAGCAGAGGACTTTAATTATGGAATTACTGGGGGAAACATTTTTTTCATTTTCTATTACAATTTTTTCTTTCTTCCCTTCTTTTGCCTTTTAATGATTTTGTTTATAAGACATGCCGATCAACATTGCTGAATTGCTGCATGTTTTGTTGATGTGTAAGTCCAGTGTAAAATAAAATCAGTGTAAAATTACAGTACATTACTGGCTACTAGTTGCATTACTTCTACAGTAACTTGCTGTGCCATATTAACAGTAAATAACAGTAAAATAGCAACAGTATAATGTAGCTCTAAAAGTAATGAAACTCAATAGCCAATAATTTATTGCAAATTTACATAGTGCTGTTGTCAGAAGAAAACATTTGTAAGTTTCATGATGAATGGACTAAAATAAATGACCCAAAATGACTTGGAAAAATGTCTGGTTCCATTAAGTACTTACATTAAGGAAAGCAAGTAAAGTTTTTTTCCTTCTCCTCTAAAGTTATCATCATGTTTGAGGTTTCCTTCCGACAACAGTGATATGAAAAAGCTGACTTTTAATTTTACAGGACCTGTAATTTTTCACAGTACCAATGAACATATTTATTCACCATGTTTGCACTGCATATGCACAGAATATCTCAAATATCCATCCATTCCTCCATCATCTAAACCACTTATCCTTCTGGGTCGCGGTGGGGTGCTGGAGCCTATCCCAGCTGTCATTGGGCGAAAGGCAGGATACACCCTGGACAGGTCGCCAGTCCATCACAGGGCAGACAGACAGACAGACATACACATTCACACACTCACTCACTCACTCACACCTAGGGGCAATTCAGCATGTCCAATTGGCCTAACTGCATGTTTTTAGACTGTGGGAGGAAACCAGAGGAAACCCACGCAGACATGGGGAGAACATGCAAACTCCACACAGAAATGACCCTGGTCACCCGGCCGGGAATCGAACCCAGGGCATTCTTGCTGTGAGGCGACAGCGCTACCCACTGCGCCGCCCACATTTAACAGACATTTTCATTATATATATTTTTGACAAACATAACCAAAAACATATAGCTAGCTAAACCAACAAACATTATGATAATTCTCAACATCTTGGTGTTTCAACATTTAAACAATAAAAAAAAAACCCTTAAAAGTCTTTAAAACACAAAAGGAATAGTCAGAATAAAAACATTACAATATATTTTTAAAATGTTTATTGCTTTTTAACTCTCAGTTGCTGTCATATTATATAATGCTGTGTGGTACAGCATTATGTCAAACAGTATTTTGCTGCGTTATTACAAAACATATCTTAAGATGAATACTGTATTTTACTGTCAAAAATTAGAGATAAATGTTGTGAAATCCTGGCAGTTATTAACAGTGCACGTTCAGTAATAAAGTAAAAACTCCACATTTAAAAGGTCCATTAAAAATAATTCTGGGAGAGGACGCTAAAACAATTCTACAATGAACTGGGAGGAGCCCTGGATCTTTACATGCCCAGCCAATACCCCTGGTATTAAGGGTGATGATGCTGGACTGGTATTGGAGATCCAATGTGTGCCAAGAAAACATTCCCCATATAATTTCACCACCAGCTTGAACTGTTGACACAGGGTGGGTTGGGTCTATGAATCCTTCTGTTTACACCATGTTCTGACCCACCCTTTTGTATGCTGCAGGCTGGAGTGTACATGAGAGGTGTTTTTGATAAAATGGCCAATGAGTGTAGCTACAGTCACAACACAGTGTAGTGTGCTTCACTGGTTTTCAAACCAGTCACAGGGCCCTTCAGATGGTTCACATTTTTACCTGGATGGCTGATTTGAGGGCTACTAGCCTACATTATACGGCAACCTCTGTTTATTTCACTTCTTGAACGTTTTAAATCCTGAAACATTTGAACGGAGTAGTAACTTTGTTCGTTCTGCTTCACCATTCTATCTGTCTTCTCTAGCAGCTCAGTGACCTGCTGTCTGTTTCCTCCATTTTTATTATTAAGGACATGATATCCCCCTCCACACTGCTCAACCAGCCTGTTCTTTTGAATCTCAGGCTCTAAACTGCTTCCCTGCAACACCTCTCCATGAGTGAAGAGAAAGATGGTGTACTTTCTCATCTCCTCCCCAAACATCATCTTGAATTTCTGAAAAACTTGTTCATCCTGTTCTGTAAATCTGATCATGGGCAGAACATAAAGGAAAGCGTGAGGTCCTGGACTGGACAGAAAGATACTTCTCCTGATCTCTACAGCCAGATCATCAGCAGACATGTGTGTGTGAAATGTCCACTACACACACTACACACACATTCCTCCCTGCTACCTCTGCCTGTCCAATCTCACATTGCGATGTAACAGTGGCGAGACTGTACAAAGATCTAAATCTGTTTTTTCCCAGGATGGTGTTTCCTGTAGCGTTCTTCCCTACTCCAGTCTTCCCCAGCAGAACAGTTCTTCTCTCAAGATCTTTTTTAGAATTAGCTCGTGTTAGTTGAGCAGGTCTCCCTTCTGGAACTGAATGTAAATAAGGAGGACAGAGAAAAATCTGTGTCCATTTATTCCTATTGCACAGATACTACCCCAAATTATTAGATGGGTTATTGTCCCAAAATTTACATGAACAAATACAGTCATGATAGTGGAAATTAAAATATCCTTCTTACTGAAAAAAAGATATGATTGTTAGGCTGTACACTTGTAATTTACCTGGTCCTTTTTTGTGCATAATGCAAGAACAAATATAAGGCTCCAAATCCCTGAGCTAGAGTGTGTGGGTGGGGCAAATACATATTTTGGTATTTTTGTGACCAGTGGCACAGAGCGGTGCAATACTCAGATTGATATGTTATCAACAGGCATGGTTAGGCATGCTGCAGTGATATTGAATCGAATTAACGGTCCTTATTTTCTTTAAGAGCTAAATGTGTGCAGTGACATTGTCCTTACAGCAGGGTATCGCCATCTTCACAGAAAGAAGACATACTCCATTCTACAGATGAAAAAACTGATATAGTTCTCAGTTCAATATTTTAGAAGTAAGTACAAGACTGACACAACACTACAAAAGTGGTTTCTGGCTTCCTGTTGGTGTAGTAAGTCATTCTCTTACTGAGTGTTTGCTCACACATGAGCTCTCAAGAACAGAGGCTATGGTTTACTACAGGTTTGCATGTGTAAAACAAGTACAATCAATTGTAAAACATGTACAAACCTGATCTGTCCAAGTTGATCTACTAGTAGAATATAAAGAGGATTGTCAAATGAGAAAAATAGCACATGCTGTCTGGTTTGCCTTAATGAATATGCAATTTGTTTGTTTGGTTGTTTCCTCCAAAGGGTGCAAAATAAAGGGTACCATTGACGCAGGTAGATTCATTTAGCCTCCACAGTGTGATTTATCAAGGCTGACATTAATTCCAAAAATGGCAATGAATGCTGCTCAGTGCTTCTACACAAGGTGACCACCTACAGTACATTTTGTGGGACAGTCCAGAAAATGTTTTGTTTGTTCCACATCCAGGAGTACTATCATAAAGTATGTTCATGGTCACTACTTAATGCCAAACTGCACACAGGATGTTTGTTATGCTATTTGCTGTTCGGCAACTATAATTAGAATTTATTTATGTCGCTAAAGCTAAGTAATGCATACTGACAATTTATGTCAGGGTAATAACAAACTGATTTTACACTGAATAAAGTGTGGTGTTAATCCAATTAAACAGTCTGATCTTGGCACCTTACTGCTGAACCTGATGTATTTCTTGATGTATTTATTATTTATTATATGCTATTTCTTGTTTTCCGCTTCCTACAACTTGCCATCTTCTCTTATCTTCCTCAGTTGTTCTTCTTGCCAGAACCTGCCATGGTTATTGAGAACACTCAGCACACACAAAAGCTTGTTTAGTCTACTTTGTTAGTCTAATAATGACAACATCTAAAGACATTCACTAATTTCATTAGGAATCTATTAGACTGAATGACTTACAGACTAAAAGGGATCCTTACCTTATATCAAAATTTCTGTTTCTTTCTTAAACGCACTGATTATCTTTTCCATTTCTTCCATCTTTTCTATCAGATGATACTCCTTCTCTTTAAATTTGTCCTCTATCTTTTTTCTTTTCGTCTCCTGCTCCAGTCTGTCCTCCTCAGTGCTCTTCTTCATTCTCTCTATTTCCTGCTGATGTTTTTCTATGATCATTTCTGTAGTTTTTACTTCCTCTTGGACTCTGATCTGTAGCTCCTTTTGTAGATGCTGTAATTCTTCAAGCTCCTTCAAGTGTTCCTCTTTTAAAAGCTTCATTCTCTCCTCCAGATCACTTCGCTTTTTCTGTTCCTCTGCTCTCCTCTTTTCGTCACTCTGCACTTTTCTCTTCAGCTCTTCTATCTTAAACATATATTCTTCTCTTTCTTTTCTGTGTTTCTCCTCCCATTCTCTCCTCTCTTGCTCTTCTCTCTCCCTCCGTTTTGTATCCTCTAACTCTGTTTTTATCTGATCAGCATGTCTTTGCCTTTCAAGTTCAGATCTCAGTCTGTCCATCTGGGAAAATATTGTAGCCTCTTTCTCTGCAAATATTTTCTCATCATCCTTTCTTCTTTTTTCATATTCCTCAGCTCTTTTAACACCAGCGAGTTTGTATTTTTCCACCATTTCTCTTAGAAGTTGCTGTTCTCTCTCAAACTCCTCCTCTTGTGTTTGTATTTCCTCTTGAAATGTTTTCTTCATTTGCTTTATCTTCACTTCATATTTAGCTTTCAGTTCTTCTTTCTCTCTCAAGGTATCCTCCACTCTCTTCTTAAGTATTCTCACCTCATCTTGTTTTTCTTTCTGGATCTGGTGGAACATCTCATTAGTGTAGCAGCTCCCTCCATTCACTGCCACCATGGAGTCGATCTTCTCCAGTAGAGCAGTGACCTGGCTGTGGTCTCTGGTCTCCTTGTTGTTAAAGACGTGGTATCTGTTACCACACTGTTCAATGACTCTCATAAAGTTAGATCCAGGTCCGTCAAGATATTCTTCTATAGACATGCTTCCAAGAATATCACCTCCAGAAAACAGCACTACAGTGTATGCAACAGACTTTTCACCAAAAATCTCCTGCACTGTTTTCAATGCTTCTTTTTCTTCCTCTCTAAATCTATGTCCAATTCTCAGCACGAGCAGGAACACATGTGGACCTGGGGCTGCCATGGAGAGGCATTTAGTGATCTTGTGCTGGATCTCCATGTTACCCGCTTGAGTATCGAGCAGCCCTGGAGTGTCAATCACGGTAATCTGCCTTCCATTAATTTCAGTTGTTTCTTTCTGACACACACACGATGGGTAATGTCTAAACGCATCTTCTCTTCCTAAGATGGTGTTTCCTGCAGCACTCTTCCCACATCCAGTCTTCCCCAGCAGCACGATCCTGAGAGAATCTCCACCTGCTTCTAAACAAAAGAAATTAACAATTAATAATCGTGAGCAGTCTTTGCATAACAAACAAATATATTCTACTATCAAAATGTATCTGAACTGTGCAGCAGGCACAGCATTGTAGGGAAAATGCAGTTGTTACCTTCTGAATGACCTTGGATCTTTCTCTCGAGAGTATGAATTGCTGTTTTCAACTCAGTTATTTGACTTCTGTATCTTCTTTGAATTTCAACCTGTGCATCCAGGCACATGAGTGGTGTGAAAAGATCTCCATTGTTCATCAATAATAGCTGCCTAACTCTGTCTATTAACCCAGACACGTCTGAATCAAGGCCAAGAAAATAATGTCCTCCTCTGCAAGTTTCAGTAACAGTCCTCAATACTTCATCTAACTCCATTGCCTCCTGACGAGTCTCTGTAGCGATTAGGATGATGATGTGATTGTTGAGTCTAGAGCTGAAGATTCTCTGGATTTTGTCCATTTCTCCTTTGTCTTCATCAGTGAGGGGACCCTCAGGAATGATGAAGAGAAAAGAATGAACTCCAGGATCACAGAGAGAAACACAGCGGAGAGTCTCCTGCATCACTTCCTCCTCTGAGAGCTGAGTGTTCTGGAGAGCTGGCATCTCCACCAGAGAGACCAGACGTCCACACACTTCTCCCTCCCTCCTCACACACACTGAGCTGGACTCTGGACTGCACTCTCTCTGACCCAGTATGAGATCTGATACAGAGGCCTTCAATGCACCATCACTCCCACACAAGGCCAAGTTCATCTTCAGAGGTTCAGAGTGACTGGTTGACACTGAAAGAGAGAGAAAAGAGCATTTCATATGTCAACTCAATATAGTCTCATTCTTACTTAGTTGCCAGTTTTGTATTATTATTATATATTTCCAGCAAAGAGAGCACTGCAGTCTTGTAGAAGATTAAGGCATTGATCAGCTTTTCCGGTTCAGACTGAAACAAGAGGCTGCCAACTTCTATAATGTTCTTTAAAATACACCTAAAGTCACACATTAAAACACTAAAAATGTTGAATAATAAATTATTATTTTTTATATATATTATTGAAAACTACTAAAAATGGCATAGGAGTGTCCCTAAACCTCAAGACTATGAAGACCTTTGATCATGCATGATTATGCAAGTTGTAAACACCCTCTTCCTGCCCTATTTCTAATGCCCACCCTGTGAACCAGAATTCCTGGTGGTTTAGCCTTCTCGCTAAGCTAACGTTAGCCTCTGGTGTTAACGAGGATATAAATTAATAGCTTACGCCAACAGCTTTATATATAAAAATGCAAATTTGAGTCTTTATCCTCTAAACTTGCGCCAGTAACATGTTCATAAGCAAGAATGAACATATTTGTGTGTACAGCTGTTTAGGCCTTCTCACTAAGCTAACGCTAGCTTCTAGTGCTAAAATCTATTGGAATGGCTGCTGGACTACCCAATTCAACTCCAGTGGCATTGCTGCAGGACATGAGGGCTGAGGCAAAAGGGGGAAGAGCAACAGGTTCTCTCTCTCCCTCTCAGGTACTTGGGCTGCCCTTAAGGAGAGCCAGATGATGCTGGTTTGTCATCGACAGCACTACACAAGGCTCTTTTCAGCACCTGGAACATCCTCTCATTAGCATATTTTAATATATTGGTCTGTGATAGGAACAAAATCAATCATAATGTACAAAACAAAGCTGCTACATAGAGCCCCACAGATGTTTTTTTGCACAGGTTATGTTGACTAGTCACAAAGTCCTGAAGTCACGAAACTGGATCAGTTTGTGGAAAAAGGAGCTAATATTCCTGCCTGAGGTGGCCACACGATGAAGCCGAGTCAGAGGCAGTATGTTGCACTCTGAGGAAAGGTGATGTGAATGCCTGGAATAATTTTATGACGTGTCCAACTAATCTATTATGATTTATTTATTTTTGACATCTTGCATACATGCATGTATCACTTTTCCTTGTAAGGTTTATTTTTTGTAGCTTAAAAATGACTAAGCTTTTAAATGCTGAATACTAAACAAATACCAATGCAATAAATAAATACTTAAAAAAAAAAATTTGGGCTGGCCCTAATGTATTACATAATTTGCATAATTTTACTGTTCTCCAACTTAGTATTTTTAGTGATCTGTCAAGATACCAGTTAAATGCCCAACATTTTGTAACACAACCTATCTGTATTTTTCTTTAGGAACAAGATAAATTTGTACTTTGTTAAGTGTTTGATACTATACAGACCACCTATACAGGCCTGGAGCTTAACTTAATTAAAATAATTTGAAATTATCTTGTAATTGCAATATGGGTCAGAACATTTACATTTAGACATGTTACCCAGATTTTTCAGCACTGGACAATTGTAAGGAAAATGCCATTATTTGTATGCGAAGCCATTGCATCAGTGATGTGATTATTCTCTCAAACTAATTTTTAAACCCCTGGCCATTCTAACTGTACAGCCCTGGTCAAACCATAAAAATGGCAATGGCAGCACTTACTGAGGGGAGGTTCATCAATGCTTCGTCTTCTCGAGCGCACTACTGCTTCATCTTTTGTCTCTACAATTAAAAAATTGAGTTAACACTTGTTGTGGTTCAAAGTTTCCACATAAATAGTGAAAAACGTTAATAAATGTGGATCTAATAAGAATACAAGAATAACAGAGAATTAGTAAGATGATCTCTCACCCATGTTGTAGTTGGTAATACACTGAATTATAATTCCATCTGAACCTTTTCAAAGGTCCTTACTTCCACTAAAAAACAAAACACAATGAAAACTGTCATAGAAAAAACCGAGCATCTACTCTCTAATGAGATCTGTTGCCTTCCTTTTATGACTTCACTAATGTTTTGTTTTTTCACTGAGAAGTTCAATTTACCATTGATTGACTATTGTGGTGACAGTTTACTATTGATGATTCCTGGTCCTGCCTCTTCTGTGACAATGTCATGCTATTTTCTTTTAGCTGTGTTTTCAGTTTGGAAACTGAGTACATACAGTCATGTGCAAGATTTCTAGTCAAATTATATATTTGTAGATCTTCTATAAGAAAATAAGAACACTTAAATAAGATAAAATTTCCCCTACCGTGTAATTTAACCGGGGCATCCAAACTTTTGCATACTACTGTAGTACTTACTGGCCAAAACAGCAATCTGAACAGACTGCAAGTAGTGGAGTATGAGCAGGTATACTAACTTATGTAAAATGTTTTTGTCACACATACATTACACGTGGACAAAACAGATAACACCTAATGTGAGCCGAGACATCAGAATATGACTGGCCAGAATTTTAAAAAGTGATAATGAAAATAAAACTGTAATAATCAGATTGTAATTCAATTTGATTGCTGAACAAAATAGCATTTGACGTGCTTCTTTTTAAAAAAGATACATTTATTCCTCAATCTCACCATGCAGATGATGCTGCACTATCAGAGACTTTCTGTTCTGTCAGTTCATCACAGAACACAGCTCAGTTGTCCACAGGTATGGGGACTGTGGGTATCAGTTAATTTATATGGTTTGAAGGCTGAAATTATTTAAACATAAAACAGTAAGTGATTTTTGCAAAATGTCACATATTCAGAAACCACTATACTAAATAAACTGTGCTAGCATTCCCATTTGACTTAATTTCACAAACTTGTCTTAGCTCAGCCTGCGGCCCAGAAGGATAAGCGGTGTATGTGTGTGTGCATGTGTGTATGTCTGTGTGTATGTGTCTTAGCTAAGTGTCTTTTTTTTGAGTTGCAGGTTGTTTCTGTCCGTTCTCACTGTGTGAAAGCCTACGATGGTAACATTAGCATCAGGGATATGCTAATGTAGCCATGTCTCTGTAAAGCACATAATGCTACATTCTAAAGATTTCTGTTAATTCGTCACTAATGCTCCAAACTTGTCCATCTTCTGAGTCAGCGATCGCACATTCCTCATGACGATTGATGAAAGGAATGGTTTAATCCACCATTTTGCTTTGAGTCTTGCTCTTGCCCTGCATCCCCCAATGCTTCCTCAGAGATCTGAAATCTGGTTTCCGGGCAACAGGGCCACCTTGTGGAACGCAAGCAGCTGCTCCCAAGTGTAAATAATGAGTTCGCCTTCCAGACATTGAGAGGTTCAGAGGTTGTAAAATGGCAAATAAATGAGCAGATAACTTTAGAACTACACAGGACTGTAGCCAACAACATACCCTACATAACTAATATGAAAAAAGAATTAAAATGAACACTATCGTAATAAAAAAGACTTAGAGAAACTTACAGAACACTACCGAACTGCTGCAACAGGCTGCCTTAATCAATATCAACATGTACAGTATATCTATTTTGTATTTGGCTGGTGAAAAGACCACCCCTGGTTTAGGAACATACTAAAATTTCAGCAAGAAAAAAAAAAGACTAACTCATTTGTCACTGCATTTGTCAGTTTGATTTTATTGTTTGTTAAAGCAGTTATTATTATTATTATTATTATTATTATTGTTATTATTATTATTATTTTTTATTTAGAAATAACAAAAGGTGAAAAAACAGTTTGAACTCAAAGAGATTAGTTACTGGGCTGCCTTAACATGTTGTAAAAGTGGTAAGTCAACACAACTTGATGCAGATTCCTGTTCTTTTAACTTAATAATAACTCTTTTAAGCGGAATCAGTGTAGTAGATCAGCTTGCTGAGATGGTGAATAAAGAGTTCTGTAGAAGCTGTTAAAGCCTTCACTTAAATCAAACTCGTATTCTTAAAGACAGACCTTATTTTTACACTCCAAATCATGGATGCTCAACTTTACTTAGCATGTATCATCAGGAATTTTACACCCAAGTTTTATAATTATAAAGCCATAACTTACCTGAACAGAAAACCAAAAGAGAAGAGCAGCAACACGATCCAGCTTGTTTACAAAGATGAAATAGCAGGTTCTATCTTTCAGTCTCTAACCTCTTTTTTTGGGGGGGTTCAAGCAGGTAGTTTAGTTGCTACTTCATTAAACTACGGCTACAGAGCAAGTCTATTGTACAGAAAGAAAAAATAACAAGTCAATGATCTGTGACCGTTGATCCCCAAGGCTCCCATCACTGTTCCCAAATGAAAGTATGATGCTGCCGTGGAGGTGTACGTTGGAGGTGCCACTGAAATCATGTGATATGGCTACAGACTGTAAAAGCACTTCCCTGGGAATATTCTCAATGTGTATTTAAAGACATTTTTGACTGAGTACAATGAGCCTGATCTCAACACATTTATTGAATTTAGAAATTTCATCTTGATGATCAAATTCCTGTAATTTCTTTATAGACTTTATGGTCAGTCCATCTGATGTAAATAAATAATAGTAATATATGCACTTATTTTAAGTTATGCAATAAATATATATATTTTTAAATATATGATAATGCAGGGGTTGTGAATCATTTGACATTTAGAGGAAAACAGTTTTTCATCATAAAGATCTAAAGTTGTTCATGTACTGGCCAGCATTAGAGTTACATGCTAGCTGTAGCATCATTAGTTATCGTTAAGCAGCATATTTAGCCATCGCGGACTTGAGTTTGTGTGTGAGTTTTTCAGCTCAGTAGAGTTACATTCACACCTGATCTGTTCTGTCTTGTCTAATTATTATTTGCAGTTACTAATTGTGTTTAATGTGACAAACAAACACACAACGTTGAATACTGCTGCTTTATTTAAACTGTTGTTATTGTTGACTACAATAACAATAATAATAATAGTTATAATAGCTAAATTATATAATAATAATAATAGCTAAATGAATTTACACATTGTTAGGTAATTAATATACTCATACTATTCAATTCATTATTTGGTTCATTTACAAAATTAACATTTAAATGTCTTTTTTCCCAGTCATTTGTCAAAACATAGTAAAATAAGTCATTAAAGATTCATTAAAAAATAAATTCACTGTTTTGGCATATATACATTTTTACATACACGCTGTAGAATTTAGATGGGGGGGTTCTTACTCTAAGTAGGGGGGCCTGTTGGTTCCAGTTTATTTATCTTGACTTGACTATGGGTAATAATTCAGGTGGGTCACCAATCCAACAGGATGAAATAGCCACCCAGTGAAGTTAATCCTATAGAGACAGTCAGTAACAATATGAATATTAATAATTTTCTCATTATCTCATTATCCGCAGGAAATTTCATTACCCAAAGTTCTTTTCTTAGATGATAGAACTTCTGTGAAACAAGACAAACAGAAGGGTAAAATGTTCAAAAAGTTTAAAAGCAATTGATAAAAAGAGGAATGCAGAATATGTGTAGAAAAAGAAAAAGACAATAGCATACAAAGTAAAATAAAACAACTGATCCAAAGTTATAAAAGAAATCTAAGAGATCTTTGTAGGTAAAATTGAACCAGGCAATCTAAATTGCCTGAATGAAAACAAGAAGTTAACACATAATCAAAAGATGGCGTACAGCAATGATGAACTTATCTATCTAGAGTTCACACCAAAATAGATTCTAATGCGTTACAGCATCTCTACATCATGGCGATATTGGAAGGAAAGCAGAGAAAAGTTTACATGTTTATACTTTGGTTGTCTTTGGGGTGGGACTGAGAGGCTTGGCTTTGTGAAATGCTGATAAGTAGTTGGGCCAGGAATATTACAGCAGTAAATCTTGCAGGCAAGCACACTCTCATTTTAAGCTTGGTCACTGTGGACATAGATATAAATACATCCCATTGTTGAGTGCTAAAAATAAATAAATATAATATCTAGGTTGCATGGATTTCTCTCGGTTGCTTTTATTTATATTTCATAACTGTGAAAGTGCTCACACAACACAATAGACCTAGTCTCTCACACATCAGCAAATCCATAACTGTGTGAATGACTTCTAACCTTAATGTTCATATAAATCCAAATAAAGCCCCTTAAAACACAGTGATATGGTGCTAATCTAATGTAAATATTTCATTTGGATTATGGTATGCTGTACCTACAATGCACACTTACTCAGTAACAGCAAATCAGTGTAAATAAAATAGTATAACTATTTCAGATCAAGTAAAGATACCCTGTGTAGGGTATTGAATGAAATAAGCTTAATACAAGAAAAGAAAAAACAAGTTCTCTGTGCCAACCACATGGTCATATCTTCATTATGTAATTCTGCTCCACTTTCTGAGTACACCATTCTCGAACTAGCGAAATGCTGAGCTGTCCTTTTCCTAACCTGCCTCTCTATATCCGTACTGAATGCAGTTCAGCAACAATGTTGACCCCCCAGGATATAGCAGCGCCTTTGATGTGCCTGCTGGCTGATGCCAATGCGGCATCTGTGTATGTATGACAGCAAGACTACACATGTATGTGGCAGACTCTTTTCAAAACTCAAATAGTGCATTGAATGTTAAGCAGAGTTTTACACAAAATGACATTTTTCATCTCTCATTTTCCACTCACATTTCAAATGACTTTTTTCCCTTAATTTCTTCCTTTCATCATTCCTTGTAAATTAGTTTAGTATATAATTTTGACAGCCATGTGATAATTATAGCGGGTTATACAGTTGTAACAAAACTAGCACAGTATTTTAAACAAAAATCATTGTATATTAGGCCTAGTCATTATTTTTTTCTATCTGTAATATTTGTCGTAGTTTATTTTACAAAATAAAAGTGTATTTGCATTTAAAATCTGTTTGAGGAGATGTTAAAAATAGTTAGACATTGTATGCATTGTATACAATAATCTGGACATTCTGATGGTGGACCAGGAGTGGCACTCACTCAGCAGACCAATTTATGGGCTGTGTCTAAAACGTAATAAATGCTGCCTACTCAGAGGCAGTAAGGCACCCAGTCATGTCAGAATCGACTATGTGTATAAAACGCTGCCTGCTGAGGTTCCCCCATTCAGCTTAAAAGAATTTTTGCTGGGTAAAAGATGCTGTAACGTCTAATGCTAACAACTAGCAGTGAGCTGCATACATTGGCAACACTCATGGTGTTATTGCTGCCTTTAAAGCATGTCTCAAACACGTTTCGGTTGCTTGTTTTCTTATCGGATGTTATCTTACATAAGAGTTGATAATGTAATGTTTTCTACACATGCACAACAGTGGTGTGCATGCACAGTGCAAAACGGGCAAAGAACACAATTCGGGTAACGACAATCACAGTTGCTCAACATCTGGCTGCGACAGCTAAGAGAGAGGCAGTTTCTTAATATGCATTCTTATGTGTTCTTCCATTGTCATGTTCTTGCCTGACATTATTTTCCACTGCCCAAATTGCATTCCAATACTCAAGAACACATGTAACAAGAATGGTCAAAGTACCCAGATGTATTCTTGTGCCGCGATGCATTGGTTGGTGACTCGCCAAAGAGAATTACCTAAAAGTTCCAATATTCACTGCAGTGTCATCACGCCTGGCAGAGGATATTGACCCACTCAGATAGCAGACAGTTTTGGGCTGATTCTGGCTTTCCTTTGTGATTGTTGGTTGACAACCGGACAGATGTAAGGCATGTGGGCCAGAACAGAGCCAAAAGCCAGACAGCTTTATAAGGTTGCTAAGTTAGCAAAGGCTGAAGTGAAAGGTATATTTTTAACATTATAGCTTACAACACTTAGCACCTTCCATTAAAGTGAAATCACTTAATGACTCCATTATATATTTCCTTCAAGGCAGGATCCTGGCCAAATTATGGTGAACTTGAATGAGTTGATGACACACAGACTGAGGATGGGCACTTCAGTGTTGACTTTGGAGAAACACTGAAGAGAAAATGAAATGTTTTACACTAATACATTAAATTATTTTCTATACATAGTTATTTTGCCAACTTATGTTATTTGATTTGTTGTGTTGTAATTTCTTTGCTGATGAACTGATTCTAGCAATGAAAAATAAGCACACAATGCTCCTGTGAGATTCTATTTTGTCATTTGTAATGCACAAAAGCCTTTGGTTATTCCAAGTGTGATCCCTGCTGAAAAGGCCTGTAGAAACCACTGTGTTTCTGTTGGTTCCTAATGATTACGTAATGTGCTTTGGCATTTTTTAATGGGTTGATTTCACAGTGTACACTGTTGACCAATGGATGATTCTAATTGATGGTTTCTTTATGGGATCTAAAGGTTTTCTACAGGAAACTAGTGTTCTCACTTGGAAACCTTTAAGCCAATTTCCATCAGAAAGCAAACCCATTAGATTTTAATAATAGTTTCTAAAGGTCCCTTTTCAGCAGGGATAATCTGAATTCATTTACTGAATGACTGGCAACAACAAAGTACACAGCACACCTCAAACTCCTGTTCGTTCATTCTCTGTCCTTGTGTTCTGGCGAGTTGATTCTTGCAAAGTAACTTGTATATTTCCCATAAACAGAGGCCATGTTGAGCGTTATGAGCTCCCATCCATAGTTCAGCCCATGACCTCTCTCCTTCTTTATGTCTGTTAGCACTCACTTTGTAAATGAACCTCAAAAATGAAAAGATACACAGAAGTTGTTAACTATGCACATTGGAATGATCACCTCCACAGAGAGATGAGGAGAGAAATTTGGTTTTCAGTTGTTGAAATGGTCACGTCTGGCACAAGATGGCGCCGCTGCATCAGTTGTAGGGCAAAAGGCTGAACACAGTCACGCGTGAATGAATGAAACCGAAAGATTAGTTAAACTTCCCAAAATGCACAAAACACCAAAGCCTACTATTTAGAATATTTCCTTGGGTAAGCTTATGTTATCTCTTTATATTTCCTGTTATTTTTAAAGATATAAAGAATGGCAGCTGAAATGCACTGATCTCTGTAATGTAATATTGTATTTTTTCCTCCACTGGTATTCACTTGTTTGCTATGATTCAAGTCCAGTCTTTTAAGAAAATGGCAGAGGCTTCTCCAGTTCCTGGTAAGATTCCTAAAAATCATCGTTTGCTTCAGTAAGACCATTTTCACTTCTGAGTAACAGTTGTTTATTTATTTATTTGTTTGTTTGTTTGTTTGTTTGTTTGTTTAGGGTGGGGTAACGTGTGTGCACAGCATTTATAATCATTTCAGCTTAATGGAGTAAAACTGAAACTCTATGGTGATCAGAGTTCCTCTGGTATTAGTTAATGCTACATTGGCTTGCAATGGCCTCTCTTTCAGGTTTGAGACTCTCATTCTTGAAACATAGCTGCAGAACTCTAGTAATTTCTGTAGTAATTAAATTAATAGTGTACTTTTCCCTTTTAAATTTGTAAAAGTAAAAATCTAATGTTTGTGTTTGTTTAACTGTACCCTGTTGTTCCTAAAAGTTGTCTTGCACTAAAACTAGCTGAAAAGGTAGTCAGGTTAGACCTGTGCCCATGTCTTGGTAAGGCCCCTCTGATTGTAAAACAAATTAAGCATATCATAGCAAGACACCTGGACGCCACTCACATGCAATACATTTCTTACTTTTTGTGTCACATCCTTCAGTAATTCAATTCATCTTAATAATATAGTCCCTTTTAAAACAGATATTTCTTTACAGAAGTCACAAATGATCATGGCCAAGAGTGACATTCGCAGATAAAACTCCCTAAGAGCACGAGGAAGAAAAACTGAGAGGAAACAAAACTCAAAAGCAGAACTGTCCTTCACTTGTCAACACCAGACAGAAGAATTATGACATTAGTAACATATTTACTGTAACTAGTAAACATTATGGTGTCCCTTATAGTTGTATGGATGTTGTGTTAAACTAGATGGAGCAGAAACCAAAATGATATATATATATATATATATATATATATATATATATATATATATATATATATATATATATATATATAATTTTCCTATATGAAATCTTTTGTTCATGTTTTCAGTTTATTTCCTAAAACAAAAGAACAGTTTTTCATGTTGTATTTATTTTCTTTTGCTGTCATTAGTTGAATTTATAGCTTTACAGAGACTAATACAAAAGTCATCGAACTACATTACTGTAAGATCATAATTCTGAAAGTGTATTTTGACTTGAATTATCATGCTGGAGGTGTCCATCTGAATGTGAATAAATTGTAGCCATGAACTGATGAACCTGGTAAGCAAGAATGTCCAGATACAACCAGATCAATGGACTTAAGTTGCTTGGACCAAATTCTAATCTTTCCATCCACATGATGGAAGATCAAAAATAAATGTTTTTTTTTATTTCTCAATGTTACGGTTTTGATGCTCCTGAGTTCACTACAAACACGCCTTCTTGTTCTTTGCTGACAACACTAGCGACAGACATGGTGTTTGCCTATAGTATGCCATTTAGTACAAAGTCTGATAAGTGATGCGCAGTGAGATGACATTTTGTACACTACTGGTTTGACTGGTCTGTTTGCAAGATTGTTGTTTTTCTCCTTTGACCCTTCTGATCCATAAGCAAATGTGGGGTTTATATTTTCTGTAAATCCAGCACTTTATAAGCTTCTTTGCAAGGTGGTCATTCCAATTATTATCTGTCTATAAACCACAGTGGCTTTTCAAATTAAGGACTCTGACCTGAGGATTAAAGTTATGTTGATAAAGTAAAGCAGATGAATGGAGGATGATTTTCCAAGAAATATTTTTACTGGTCTTCCAAACTATTGTTTTTTTCATATATTATCACTCTCTTTGTATTTCTCAGGCTCTGCAGTTGGGTCCTCCAATTACACAGTCAGGATTCTGCTGCTGGGCAGAAGTGGATCTGGGAAAAGTGCCACAGGAAACACAATCCTGGGGAAAAAAATGTTCAACAGCCCAAAACGGCACAAAGAGCGAGTAACCACAATGTGCGAAAAGCAGTCCTGTCATGTTGCTGGAAGGGAGGTGTGTGTGATTGACACTCCAGACCTGCTGGATCCAAACCTCACTGAGGATCAACTCAAGCAAGAGAAAGACAAACTGATATCTCTCTGTCAGGCTGGTCTTCATGCTGTGCTCCTTGTGGTTCCTATTGGTGAAGAGCTGCAGAATGAGGAGGAGATACTGGAATTCAGTAAAGGATTATTTGGTCCAAACATTGAGAGCATTATCATAGTGCTCTTCACGAGAGGGGATGAACTGGAGGATAATGAGACAATTGATCAGCAAATCCAAAAGGAAGGAGATCTGCAGCAGCTGATTGCAAAGTGTTGTGGCAGATTCCATGTTTTTGACAACAGGCACCTTGTTGAGGACCAGGTTGTGGACCTACTGAAGAAGATTGATACCTTGGTGACCAATATCGGAGAATGCTATTTGATGGAACAGCACAAAAGGCAAAGCATAGATGTCCAGATATATTGTAAGTTGTCTGTTTTGCCTTTGTATGATTTAAAATGCTTCATGTCAGGTAATCTATTATGAGATTTTTTTATTAGAGCTGTCAAGTAATCGAAATAATTAATTGCGATTAGTCCTATTATTTTGTGCAGTTAATCGCGATTAATCGTGTTTGTCTTTTTCCCAAATTTGACTCCATTTAAAAAAGGAGTGCAGCTTTTATAGCTGGCTCCTCTAAGCCAGTGGTTCTCAAACTGGTCCTCAAGGCTCCCAGACAGTCCATATTTTTGCTCTCTCCCAGTGTGGGAGAGTTTCAAGTTAGGTTGGAGCAAAAATCTGAGCACCAGTTTGAGAACCACCACTCTAAACAGCTGGCTGAGGACCTGAAAACTGATAAATGATGCCTATAAAGCAATAGAAAACTTACATCTCACAATTTCCACTTTCCAAAATGTCATTAAGAAATAGCAGTTCAGAGAATCCCACCGCCCATGACCTGGGAGGATAAGCGGCTTAAATAATGTGTCTGTGTGTGTGTTACAAGCCAAAGAGGGTGTTACTAAGTACTGACTTATATATAGTTTTCTGAAGAGAACGTGTTTAGTGTTTTCACCTCAAAAATGAACAAAATGTGTCATTTGACAAAGGGTGGCCAAACTTTTGCATTGTAACTTGCATTTGTATTTATTACTTTCAGTAATTCAGTGACATTTTTATTGAACAGAGGGTTCTTATGGGAACCGGGAACAATTTTTGCGCAATTTTTCCTATGGTAAGGAAAGTGATACATTAACGAGCAAAGGAGTGTATACGTTATGTCAATAAATGGTTTGTACTTGTGGGGTCCTGTTACAGTGGAGGATCTTGAGGTGAACTGTAGTTTTCCACTTTGCTTTGCTGTGCTTTTTGTTAGTTAGCTGCTCATTGAATTGTCCATAGGGCTCCCTGTCCAGCGTAGTCTGCTGAAGATGCTGAAGGTATTACTTTAAAAGACATTTAAAAACTTTATCTAAATGAGAGAGATATAACTGCAGATGTTATCATAGCAATATATGATAGTGTGAACAGCTGAGCTTCAACCTGCACTAGTACAGATGGATCTGTTGAGTAATTTCAGAATTACAGGAACACAAAAAGTAAACATAATTTACAAGGATGAATAAAAAATGGAGATATATTTTCTTTAGTATATGAATGCAGGTCAGTGCATTCATACAAAAACATAACCTCATGCATAGAGTTAACTAAAGTGGAAAGACTAAAAATAGGATAAAGAAAACAGCAAGCTGAAACTTAGACAAATCATGCATACTCTACACATAGCATATTACACAGTGTTGAGTTGCTGAATCGTTATTACATAGCAGAACTGTTATAATAAAGACCTGGATTGGTTTAGAATCAAGTCAAGTCAAGTCAAGAGACTTTTATTGTCATTCCATCTCTGTACAAGTACACAGTGGAGTGAAATTACGTTCCTCCAGGAACAACACGGTGCAACAAGGAACAAAAAGTACAAAGTGCAAATGTGCAGACATCAGTGTGTAAACAAAAAATTAAGCTAGAAACAATACAATAAATACGATAAATTAAACAGACATTAGGCACAGTAAACAGACAGGACAGTGCAGCACCGACACAGCACTCATTTCTCATTTCTGAGCATGAGGTAGTGGAATAAGGTGCAGAGATATTTAACATGCTGTGATCTGCGAGTTTACACAGTCAGATAACATACGTGAGCACAGCAGTTACTGAGGTAGTAAAACAGTGTAAACACAGCATTAGCAGCAATGTTCCAGAGTGCAAGTAGTGTATCAAAAGAGGGGTATTAGTTAGTTCAGCCCTTGTGAATTTAAAAACCTGATCATAACTAAACACAGTGTTAAGTAGGGCCCTTTATGTATGTCCTAAAGACGTCTACAACAGTCATGCTTAGTCAGGCCCAAAGCCTCCAAGGTTCCCGAATAATCTCCACAAAGTCACCTTGTTTTACAGTTCTACATTGATGAAAACACTGTTCCTTTACCACAGGCAGCCACAATGTCTGGTAGGATAGTTTGCAGATAATAAACAAATACTTATTTCATGTCATAGTAACTTTCTAAAAGAACGAACACTCTCCAAGTACAGTGATATCTGCGAAAAGAACAAACATCAGACAAACATACTATAGACCTCATAAATACAATCCCATTTCCAAAAAAGTTGAGATGCTGTGCAAAATGTAAATAAAAACAAAAGGCAATGATGTGCCAAATCATTTAAACCCTCTATTTCATTGAAAATAGTACGAAGACAATATATCAAATGTTGAAACGGAAAAAGTTTATTGTTTTTAAAAAATATATGCTCATTTTGAATTTGACAGCAATAACACATTCCATAAAAGTTGGGAGGGGGCAACAAAAGGCTGGTAAAGTTGTGTAATGCTAAAAAAAAACACCTGGTGGTTAACTGGCAACAGTCTTTCTGAAGTAAAGATGAGGAGGAGTTCACCACTCTGTGAGAGACTGCTCAAGCAAATAGTGCAACAATTCAAGAACAACATTTCTCAATGTAAAATAGCAAAGAACTTTTTTCATCATCTACAGTCCATAATAACATTACAAGATTCAGAGAATGGGGAGAAATCTCTGTATGAAAGGGACAAGACCAAAATCCAGTATTTGCTGGCCGTGATCTTTGGGCCCTCTTTAGGTTAACTGCGTTAAGACTGCTACCATAACAACAGGCTATAACAGAAAAGATAAACGGATAATGGTAAAATGAAGAGAAAAATCCCTCAACTCTCAACGTAAAAATGAAATTAAAAGTTATAAACATCAGCTCTGTTGCTCTACTGGGCCTGAGTTTGATCAGCTAATTTACTTCATGTACTGAAGTAGCTGCATATCCAGCGTTCTAAAAGCCATTAAAATGGTACATTAATGACCCTTTGAAATGAACAATGATTTGGGTGGTTCAGCAAAGACTAACTTATAACATTCCAGCTAAAATTACAGACCAGGCTTCAAAATCTGCGACAGACTTCTTGCAGGAGTATTTTGTGCACATTGATTATTCAGTCAAACTAGCTCATATTATCGACTCACCAGCAAATGAAACAACTCCCCTTTAAGCAGACAGAGTCATTGATGAGCAAGTTCAGCTGGTGGTGTTAACCACATAAATAAATCCAGATTAATCCTTATTTCTGTTTTGTCTTTGGAAACATGTATTAAACAACATTCTTCAGTCCATCAGGCTACAGACGCATTTTATCACCATATCTAGAGTTTTACATCTAAAATGTGGCACGCTGGCTGAATTGATGACTGACTGAACGGCGGATAGAAATGGTTTCTGAGCATTGATTGAAGGGCTACGAAAACAAGGTGGAGCTTGAGAGTGGTTTGTCAAAGATGGGCAGTTAAACATACAGAAATCATAAAATGGAATCTCCATTTTTATTGTTTTTGCCATCTCTTGTAAAGTTGCCAAGTTGGAGATACATGTTTTTCTTGGACGGTGACGATTTGTTAAAATTCAAGAATTCAATTTGATAAAATTCAATTATAAGTCATTATGGGGCAAAGGAGCACATGCTCCACCACCTGCAAGGCAACATAATAGTACAGTCATAATCCAGAATAATCCAGAATAATGTTAGGGAGCCCCCTGGTGACCATGGGGCTCTAGTGCTTAAGTCGCTTAATACGCTGAGCTGGTGTTGACTGCAGTAAAAGTGCTTTTCCAAAAACAACTTGAGTAGAAGTTCAAAAGAAGCAGCTCCACAACTTCTTAAGTACTGAGTAAATTATGGAACTACAGAACATCACAGTACAGCATCTGTTAACACAGGAACTGAAGTCAGTTCAATTCTTCTCATTTTGAATCCTTTTTGTCTAAAATAAAAAGCAAAATGAGGTGTAAGAAACAGTAAAGTAGTCCAGATACTATCACAAGTGTAACAGAGGACTTAAAAATGCTGGATGTAGTAATATGCCTACAGATACATGCAGTAACAATTAGCTCATTGTTAACAATAATGTGAACGTCAGCACTCAGTTGCAAGCTACATAGTGTGTAGGAAAGTCAAGCCTTTTTTGCTATATAAAACCCTGGCACCATCCCTGTAAGTGATAACAAATTTAACAAACAAAAAGAGGGGCTAAAAGAAAACTCAGCTCAGTCTTTCATCATGTAATCACAGCGTGAAGTATAATTTAGGTTGCCCAGTACTGAAAGCATATGATCATTCTGTTGCTGTGTTACAGTTTCAAGGGAAACACACACAGAGGGAGCAGCAGATGACTGGCAACAGCTTCCTGAGAGGAAAGGGCAGCGAAGGCTGGTGCTGCTGGGGAAGACTGGAGCGGGAAAGAGCGCTACAGGAAACACTATCCTGGGCAAGAATGTGTTTAAATCTGATGCAAGTTCATCCTCTCAAACGAGAGAGTGCAGCTCTGAAAAACTCGAGAGAGGCGGTAAAGAGATTATTGTGATTGACACACCAGGACTGTTTGACACTAAACTCAGCCAAGATGAAGTTACCAAGGAAATTCTGAAATGTATGACCTACTCATCTCCAGGCCCTCATGCGTTCCTCATAGTGATCAGAGTAGGGAGATTTACCCCTGAAGAGAAGGAAACAGTGAAGCAACTCCAAAACGTTTTTGGTGAAAATGCAGGGAAATACACCATGATCCTCTTCACCTGCAAGGACGAGTTAGAGAAGAAAAAACAAACCATTCAACAGTACCTCGAAAAATGTGACCCAGACCTCAAAGCTCTTTTAGAGAGCTGTGGGAACAGATTCTACAGTCTGAATAACAACGCATCCAGTTACCCACAATTTAAAGATCTGATGGGTAAAATAGAGTCAATGGTGGCAAAAAATGAGGGAAAATATTTCAGTGATGTCTCATTTGAGGATCTTGAACAATCTATTCTAGAGATCCAAAAGGAGAAACTGGAGCAGAAACTTAAGGCTTATAAACATGAACAGAAGCAGCAGACTGAGTGGCAACAAATATACTGGAGTTTAGTGGAGGAGTCACGTTTGGAAGCTCAAAAATTCTTAATTTCTGACATGTGCCTTAGTACAATTGCTAAATACCTAGGAAAAATACAGGTGTCTCTGGAGGAGAAAGAGAGCGCAATTAAGGCCGCAGAGAGCAGAGGGGTAAAACGAGCACAGGCTGTGAAAGCAGCTATCAGAGCCACAGGAGACCTAGCCAGGCAGAAGATGTGCAAAATCCAGTGAGAAGATGCAAGTGCAGTTTCCTTGGTTCTATAACATGGCCCTCTTTCATTCATTCCAGTACAGTTCAATTCAGTTTTGTTTGCAAAGGTTTTATTTCAATGTATTTTAATGCATCTTTTGCATTAAACGCGAAGTTACTAGTTTGCTGGGTGCAAGAATGTAGTCAAAACTAAAAAAATCTAATATGTAATAAGAATATACGAAAGCATAACATTAATAAGAGTAGTATCAATTACAAAGAACAGAAAGGTGCTTAAATAAGTGTAAATGAATGCATACGTTTTGTTTGGATATCAGTGTAGAACCGCAGGTTTAAGGTGCAAAAGGTCCAAAAAGTTCACTTTAACTGCATAAAAAGATCTGTGTTCTGCTGTGTTTACCTGCCTCTTGGTTTGAACTTTCAGTTTGCAGTCTTACCATTTCTATGTACAATTTAAAGCCATTCTCACTGTGGTTCTCTGGTTTTTCTTGTGTTTTGACCCTAGTTTTATTTTACCATTTTCTGAGTGTGTATTTTTCCTTGTGTTTTCAAGCAGATTGTTTGACAATTTGACAGTTGTTGCAAGCCCTAATAAAATTTATCTGCACATACATCCTGCCGCCCTCTCGTTGTCACATTAACATTTAGCGTGCTGTTTACGTTTCCATGTTTTGCATATCATTTACATATGAATTTAATTCTATTTTAATCTAGTTTTATTTAACTACGAGACTCGCAAAGTCTAAACATATAGCAAATTATATTATTAAACAATGAAAAACACACTGTCAGAGTGTCTATTTTGACAGGCATTGTGACAGCAGTTTGTCAGTGAGCTTTATTCTGTTCTTAATGGTACAGTCATTTTTTTCTCTTTGTCATTTGATGTTCAGCCACTTGCTTCTCCCTGACTATGTTTGTTCCTCAAGAGAACCTGCTTTATTTCTAGACTTTTGCAGTAGTTTCCGGTACATTTACTCTGTTGTTAACTCTGGAGGCCCCAGCATTCTCCTTTTCGCACCTTTCATTTTTTCTTTCAGTTTCTAGTTTTGAATCTGCTGCACTGTATATCCTGAATTATGTTGGAGCAGCATGCCTCTTAAATACAACCATCTTCTCTGCTTTCCTTATGAGTCCTTTATGTTTGTGGCTTGCTGTTTTGTTGTGTAAGCAGTAGTAATGTTTTCAGCAATGGATCACCAACTCTCTGAGCTTGCAGTCTTGCTGTCTTGAAAGTCTTGCTGTCCACCAACTGATTTTGAATGAATCACTATATAATTCTGTAAACATGTTCCTTTAGAACATTGTGTACCCAGATGTGCTCTTCAGCTCCCTTTGAAGAGGTTGCTTCTGGCACAGAGCTGCTTCTGAACCTGAAAAATGGTAATTTATTTTTATTATTTATTATTTTTATTATTACATGTTGTATTTGTTCTTCACACATTTTATAACTTCTCACTTTCTTGGTTCTTATAATAGTACAGTTCATGTGGAGTTTAGTAGGATGATGCCATAAGCAAATGTAACCATTTGAATGAGATATGGATCAGAGTTAAGTCATTGTTAATCTCTTCAAAGAAAATGCAGATGAAATTGCTTGTGTCAAAGCATTTTTCATTTTGTCAATGGTAACAACAGTGAGACAAAAAATCCACTCACTGATGATATTAAAACAATTTTCATTTCCACTTATTGAATGCCATTATTATATTTTTTCACTATTTATGTTTTTCTTATATCTAAATGTCAGAAATCTTGCTTTCACAATTACTGCAGCCAGTACACCAAGCAGAAAAAAAGTCTTGTGCTTTTTTTTTCCTTTTTTTATATTCTTTGGATGTACATCATCTGCTTGGACTCTTTGAAGGGGAAGAACACAAATCTATGAAGAATCTATGTAAACGATATGTATTTAACAGCTTAAATTTTAAAGATTAAGTTAGCTAACATTAGAGCTTTATTTATTAAATTAATTTAGGAGCACCCCTAATATTTCAAGTTCCAAAATATCCTAAAACCCTGTAAGCATAAGACAGTATTTTACATTGTCTTGTGCTTTATAAGTTAGCTTGAATCAGTTACCAGTGTATGATAATGCTAATTTAGCATCATTGTCTCTATGCAGTTTCCACTGTTATATTAGCTGCAACAGTTGTATTGTTTTTCCTAAACTTCTGCCAAACCATACAACCTTGGTAGCCTAAAGAACCTTTCAATTGATTGTTCTTTAGAGAACTGTCTTTGTAAATGTGTACATGTAAAGAACCTTTTTAAAGCTGAAACAACTTCTGCTTAGGATGAACCCTTAAACTGGTAAAGGACCTTAATATGTAAAGGTTCCTTACCATTTTTTTCACACTCAAATCTCTTCTTCAGAGCCTTTTGTGCCACCATTTTTTGTGTGAGTCTGTGCCTGTAGTCTGAGTGTGTGCCTGTAACAGATATGTGTTTGTGAGTTTTGTTTCTCCTTTTACAGCTGGATGTTACTTATTAATGAGTGAAATCTAAAGATTATTTTCTCCTCTCAAATTTTAATCCACATTCAGCTACTCTTTGAACTTTGTCTTGAGTGTTTTTATGCTTCTTCCTGTTTTGTATTACAGATGTAAAAGAAAGCTGTGATGTACATTTACTTTTATTTTTTTTTTTGGAATTGAGGTTTGCAGAAAAAAAATCTTCAAAGGTTACTTTTTGCTGGTATTAATAAAGGATGAGAGAAGATTTTTAATTAGATATTTTCACATTTTTCTTTAACTCTATTCACATTTGTCCTCTGACTCTGCTGTCAGGATTCTGCTGCTGGGCAGAAGTGGATCTGGGAAAAGTGTCACAGAAAACATAATCCTGGGACAAAAACTGTTCAACAGTCCAAACCGGTACAAACAGAGAGTAACCACAACGTGTGAAGAACAAACCCGCCATGTTGCTGGAAGGGAGGTGTGTGTAATTGACACTTCAGACCTGCTGAATCCAAACGTCACTGAAGAGCAACTCAAGCAAGAGGAGGAAAAACTGCTATCTCTCTGTCAGCTGGTCTTCATGCTTTGCTGCTCGTATTTGCAATTGGAGAAAAACTGCAGAATGAGGAGGAGATCCTGAAGTTTGCTAGAAGATTATTTGGCCCAAACATCCAGAATATTGTCGCTATGCTGAGGATGAGGATGGTGAGACAACTGAGCAGCAGATCTAAAAGGAGAGTCCGCAGCAGTTGATAGACAGTTGTTCCAGCACAGTTTTTCAGAGAACCTTCTCAGAGACCATATATATATATATATATATATATATATATATATATACACTAAATATGTGATAGATATGTGAAGATTAAACAACACTTATACTTACTACAAGATATGGTAACATGCAGTGGGGAACCCTCTGAGACTTCTAGGCCCCTGCAGAGAAGGCCTAATGATTTCTGGGAAGTAAAACATACATGTTTGTCATTTTAGTTTGTTTTTATTGAACAGAATCCTGCCTGTGTTTGAACTTTGCAAGAATTACAGTACTGCTCTTGTTTTATTGTTAAGTTTAGGATGAAAAAAAAGGTTAAATTCTTGAATCGCCCAGAGAACAACTGGCCAATCAGTTTGTTCTCTGTGGTATCTAGGTAGATATAACTAAGGGAGCTCTCTTATTAGTTATTACTACTGGTATTATTTTTACTTGTGTAACAAAGTAATTGCTTTAAATGTCCGCATTCTTAGCGGGTAAATACCCTGTATTTATCAAACTATAAAATAAAGTGCCTCACCAAATTGTGAATGCTATGGACTATTTTCTGTAGAAACAGTCAACCATAGATTTTAGGTGTGTAATGATACCGGGGGTGCAAATTGGTCTGACAAGTAGGGGGTACCAGTATCAGGAAGTTAAAGTCTACATACAGCAATTCAAATGTGCAAAGTTGAAAACATACACCTGCAGTTAGAGTTACTATATTGTCATTTTTAAAATGGATGGTAAATGAATAAGTGTACATATAAAATTATTAACAGGATTAGGTTTCCTGCCCTTTACAGTGGCAGGTTTTTCCATTCCATTTTGGTCCAAACACATTGAAATACAATAAAGTTTGTCAGATCTATTGCAATAAATAATTTGAAAAGATACTTTGATAATGATAAATGTGTTTTTGGATCCAATTTACAAAATTCAGATTTCATATGTTTTCTCAATTTTTGCTGTCCACACCATCAGAAATCAATCTGGATACAATCTGGATATGCCAAAAATTGGATTTGGGCTGGCAGTCTGAACACAGCATGTGTGTTAAACTGTAATTCCAGTTTTATTGAGGATATTCAAAAAATCAGATTTCAAAATGTCATTCTGAATAAAACAATATGTCTGTTTTAGAAGTAGAATAAAGGCAATTTCGACAGAAATGTGTTCTCATATGAGGTAGATAAAAGGTCTGCTTCAAGACGTAGACAATTTCTTACAAACTAAAGCTCCAAAATTCACTCTCAAAAATATGGCATCAGTGATATTTGTTTTGCATTTTTTGTGGCAATTATCCCAAGATTACACAGATTTCTCAAGTAATTTTAAAAAGTTGAAGGGACATGTCCCTCTGTCTCACTCTTCTTTGGCATCAGTAAATGATATGCAAATTCCATGATACAGTATGTTTTGTAGTTTTTACACCATGACATGATATTTCCATAGGAAGCGAAAAAAGAAATACAAACATTCATTGTGCTTTTTTTTTTTGTAAAATTCGAATTGCCAAAACAAGACAGCAGTGCCAGGTGACAGCATTATTGAACAAAGAAAGTAATTTTCTTTAATGAAAAAACTAAAAATTAAATTAAAGCATCTCAATTTCTATGGGCCATGTGAACCTGGGACTGTAGCACAACAGTTATGATAGAATACAATTATAAGACAGATTTGGCGTTATATACAATAATCATTAAAAAACTACATAATGCTAAATACTGTGTAATTACTTGTATAGGACGGTTTACAGTTAGGACTGAGGTTCAGGATCCCTCTGACCTTTACAGAGAGCTGTGAAAGAGCTTCAACGTAAAATAAAGCAACAGACATACCAGTCATGTCATGATTTTTAAAATGTAGTTACATAATCATCAAAATGTGCCAGTCACACACTTGTATCACACAGCAGCATTTAATACAGAAACAGTTTCTTTATAAGCAGTCTTTGTTTATCCATTATTCTGTGATAATGTTAATTTATGTTAGCACCTTTATGATACATGCAGTGTACCATTGCATTAGTACATTAAGTGTACAGTCACTTTCCCACA